TAATAATAATAATAATAATAATAATGGTGATGATGATGGTGGTGATGATGTTGATGGTGATGAGGTTGATAATGGTGATAATGAGGGTGAAGTTGAGGGTTGCGATGATGATGATAATGATAGCATTAATATTTTAGTAATAATAATATTTTAAGGTTATTCTAAGGTTATTTAAATGTCGAATTATTAATACGTGTAGGTTTGTGGCACCAAGACCTCTGATGATTAGTGCCTAAAATTTATACAAAATATAATAATGAGCCATTATCATTGTTATATAATGTTCGGTACATTTCTGAGCCACTCGGAATCTCTTTCGAGCTTCCTTCTTCCTGAATCTTTTATAATATAAACACATTTTAAACACTAACATTTTATTTACTTTATTTTAATATTATTATTAGGCCTCTAGCCGAGGACCTACACCTATACTATAAACTCATATTTCACATTAGAAATGTTTGCAATATAAACATTCATATTATGTTATACACTATACTAAATTTCATACACAACCATAAAATTATTTGAAACATAGACGTAGTGTTTTTTATTTAAACAATGCTTTAAATATAAATATAAATAATGTATATATATATATATATATATGTATATATGTATATGTATATATAATTTGTATTAACTAATTAATAACATAAGTTTAAACGTGGACATAGTATTTGGTACAATAAGATTAAACAATTTTAAATCTTATAATCAATTTTATTGCATCCCCACCAGGTACCCATTTATACTCCTGGGTGGAGAGAAGCAATGCAGATAAAGTGTCTTACTCAAGGACACAAGCGAAATGCACAGCGAGGGTTTGAAACCCCGACCTCGAGGTTGGGAAACCAAACCTTTCACGCTGCGCCAAACCGCTTCCACTGTATACAGTAGAACCTCTGTTAAGTGGACACCTTTGGGACAAAAAGGTGTCAACTTAATAGAGGTGTCCCCTGAATGTTTGGCCATGGTGTTAAAAAGTGTCCCCTTAATAGGGGTTTCCCCTGAATACCGGTTAGCCATGGTGTTAAAAAGTGTCAATTTAATAGGGGTGTCCCCTGAAAAGGGGTCGGGTTGGCATTGGTGTTAAAAAGTGTCCACTTAATAGGGGCTGGGCCATGGTGTACAAAAGTGTCCCATTAGTATGGGTGTCCCAAATGAGGGGTTCTAATGTAATTTGATTTATGAGTAGAAATTGTCCACACTATCAAATTTTTTCTGACAAGAAACTTGTACGCCCATCATAATGTGCCTATATGTGGTCATGATGTGATGTCATCATAACCATATTTTTAGGCATTTTCTTTGGGATTAGAAGGTAAGAATCTTAACCACCAAGCTCCAGCTACACTCCATCGTCATGATGAGCATCTTGATTACCAATGATGCAGCTCCACTTCAGGACTCGAACCCAAGAGCCTGGGATTTAAAGGCAAGCATGAAATTACCAAGCAACAACGCCACTCAATATTGCTGCTGGACATGTACCTCAACCCTGAAATTGGAAAGCAAGCCTTTTAGCCCCAAGATACAGCTTCACTCGATCAACATTTACAGGATTTGAGCCCAGGACATGTACTGGGATTGGAAGGCAAGCATCAGTTGCTCTAAAAGAAAGAGGTATTATGATTTAGGCCTATACTGTATGTGGAATCTGAATCAAAAGAACATTGTTTATTTGGTTCAATCAGTGAAATTGTAGGTCTCGTATCATTAATGTCCGGGGCCCCGCACGCGTACGACCAAATACACCCAGTTGCCCTAAAATTGCGAGATAAAAACACTGAGAATAAATAGGATTAATTTGAGTAGCTATCCATGAGATTGATTTTTATTGGACGGTTATGGCAAGAACCATAGAGTGTATGTTCCTAAGGAATGCATGTAAAAATTAAGAAAGCTACGGTACATACTACTGCAGTTATTAGTCATCACTGGTGGATACAGGAATTTGAAATAGAGGGGCCCAGAATGGGGTATTAGTAGAAAGGTGGCCAGAAAAGCTAAGTCTAGGAGTACCAAAGGGCCTACTTTTTTTTCGGAACATATTGGGTATATTACATTTCATATTTCTATTTCAAAATTATTTCAATTTCAACACCAATACATTGCATGTATTTGTTTGTCATCTATAAGAGTAAAACTTGCCAGTAAGTTAAACCAGGGAACAGTAAAATTAATTTCACTGTTCTCTGGTTAAACCAGAAATTGGAAGGTTTACAACTGATACAATAAAAGGCTTTCAGAAAGTGAAGTGATTATATTTTGGTGTCGATTAGGAACCATTCAAAGCTAAACGTCGCAGATCAGATATTTTAAAAAACTAAACAACTCATCTAAATCAAACTTTCGTGTTAGTGTAATTCTTTTAAAGCAGATTGGATGGTTGGTGGTTTGAAAGTAGCAACACATTTTCGAGGATTTTTATAGAAAGAGATTGGCGGTGGGCGGAGATATGCTCTCTACTGAGTGCTATTATTATTATTATTATTATTATTATTATTATTATTATTATTATTATTATTATTATTATTATTATTATTATTATTATTAGTACTATTATTATTATTATTATTATTATTAGTACTATTATTATTATTATTATTATTATTAGTACTACTATTATTATTATTATTATTATTATTAGTACTATTATTATTATTATTATTATTATTATTATTATTATTATTATTATTATTATGAGTAAAGAGCACTAAAAAAGCAAAGCTTAATACAAATTAGACTCATTTTAAGCAAGAAAAAAAAGACTTATTTACAATTGCTTTTAACCTTTACTAAAGCAAAGATGTTTGCAGATGAAGTCTCATGATTTTGATAGTGAGGAAATTATTTTTGTAGTAGGAAATTCCACATCACAGGGCCAGAGTAAAATAGTGTAGATTTTCTAAGACCATTAATTACGAGCAAAAGCAGATGGAAGTGATTAGATTGTCTGGTAGAGTGACCGTGGATTTGGTTAATTTTAGAAAAAGCTGTTAAGATTGCATTGGGAGCCGATCATAGAACATAAAAATAACATTAAAAAAAACTTAAACAATTGAAAAATGTCGAGTAATCTAAGATGTTGTTTAGCTGGTACTGTGCACAATCACACATGCAACAATGCCGTAGCAAATGAAATGGTTAACCTAGTCTAAAACAAAGCCATATATATATAAAGAGTTGCGACATTCCGTTCATCGGTTTGCGAAAGTCACGTGGTATACACCCTCCATTTTTGTGTCCAAATCTTCCCGATGAACACATACAAAGTATACGAGTTAGGTACATTACACAGTATTTGCACATGTTTAATTGTGCTTTTTGATGTTATTACTTAATTGATAAATATTTAATATTAAAAGCGTGATTTAGGTTATCTTTAGAATTCGAATATTCGCGCTTGTTCACGTGCAATTGATAATTAAGTGCGAATTACATAGAAATTACAATTGTAATGTTAAAGGTTTATTTATTCTATGACTGAAACGTCCTGCGCGCCTTTGTCAAAAAGTTATGTTTTGCTCTTTATCTATAGGCCTACACAATATCAGTTTAGGGCCTATATATTGCGGCCAACTGACCTATACTGTTTTAATATTTATAAATAATAATAATCAAATTAATAATATAAGATTTTTGGGCTCGGTCATATTCAATTTTAAAGAACAACAATCCAGATACTCTATTTGCGGATCATTGACATCGGTAAAAGACTAAAGTAATGATACTGCTGGCTGTTCAATATTGGACTGCCAGCACTGATTTTGATAAAGTAGGCAGGAAAAAACGATACGGAATTAACAAGACCAATGAATTAAGAAGACAAAGGATTGCCCTTTACTTTTTAAACAATAATATTTTGACGGTGATAATTTGGTGTAGTCCTACTCTCAATTTTCAAACGAAAATGATGCGGCCCACTTGACATAATACTATCTTAATATTTATTACTATAAACAATAATGATAATAGGAGTGATTTTTGTCAAAAAACCTTTAGTATAATTATTTTTATTTGATTATGATCTCGAAAATCACTCGTTATTTTTCTTTGCAAAATTCAAGGAAAAATACTAAGATATTTGTTTTATTATCGTTTTTCCCACACAAATTAAATACATGAATAACATAGATGTAACGTAAAATAATATAAAAGAGTAACTAATTTTGTTTACATTTTGATAGACATATTTAATTAATTTTTGCTGGTCATCATATATCATTTATTTCGCCAAAATAACATGAACCACTTATGGT